TATATATATATATAATAGTTTATTTGTTTATATATTTCAGTATTGATAAGAAAAATACTTCCAAATCATAATAGGCGTAAGCATTTTGAGCTTGTTCTCGATCACAGTCAGGATAATCTTATGAACAACATGGTGTGTCTCATTAATCTGGATGGTTCACATTTACTTCAAAAGTGGGAACGGCCATAGAGTGCAACAACAGGCTTTTAGGATAACTACTCCCGAAACAACTGCCCCTAATAATTCGACACCTCCCAATCTCAAACTGATTGCAATAGCCATGGTCTCCGCTGAGTAAGCCGGTAACCTCCACTAAGATTCGGCCGCGGTATCGAGATGAACTTTAGCCTCAGCCTAAGTATCAACCTCAGTCTCAGCCTGAGCCTAAGTATCAGCCTCAGTGTAAGCCTAAGCGCAAGCTTACGAATAAGAATATTAGTAGTAATTTCATAATATAGCAGTAACGGTATTAATAATGATTGTAATTTGGATAGTAATGATCGAAATCATCTATGTTTACAACGATGAATGTCAGGGGAGTACTTATGTGGATGCCCAATGATAGCTGACAATTAGATGATTGTCTTTAAGATGGATAGAATCCAAAGAAATATCAAGATGTGCTCATTAAGAGCACTAATTGTGAGTATGATCACACTGCACTATTATTCGTACAGTTATTAACGCACAGTTATTCGTTGGCAAATGAATGCCTTATTTTGATCACAGTCTTTAATCGACCATTTACCTTTACGATTCATTGACGCACATCCTTCAACTGGCTGATCACCCGCAAAATTCGAATATGTCGATTTATCACCCATTGATGCTTTCGTTTTCAGACCTATCCATGCTTCTTGATTATCGTCCTTGACCGTTTTGTTTACCATATCTGCATGAGAATTGATATCGATCAATCAACACATATCATTTGAATGATTCACTTCGTGATACTATTCACGACTTGAAATGAGGAAAGTAACTTGAAAGATTCATTTACGAAATTCACAGATTACTGACGAACCTTTAGCAAAATTATTTTTATGTTCCGAATCAAGAACAGCCAACTGCGCACCAAAATGCTTGCAAACAACCTGCAAAATTAGTAGTACTAGCAAAAATCAAATAACAATGCTGGTGATAAGAATGATCATCTTGATTGAATTTATTGAATATTATCATTGTGCAGTTGTGTTATTATTGCGATCATATTATGCTCAGTAACAGGAATATGAACAACATTTGTGATCAGTGATGCCTACGCTTCAGAGTCAAAAAATCTGTTTTGTCTCCATCAAAAAAAACCGCGGCAATATTCAATAGGTGGAGCTAAGATTTGTAGGATAGCTTTTTCTGAAGCCGGAACCAGAGCGAAACAGAGGAAAATTCAGAGCTGGAGTCGGAGGCGGTGCTGGAGGCGAAATCTTCGAAAACATGGAATCGAAGCTGGAGCAAAAATTGAAAAATGCGGAACCAGTTGAGCCAATTTTTTTCAAATTGGGCATTAATATTTGTGATCATTGATTTATCAGTTCTTTGTTGCTGGGAATCATCTGGAGAAAATTTGTGCAGATTGAAGTCTGTGGTTCCTTATTAGTGGTTTTGAAGCTGGTTTTTTTTTCATACGCACCTTTTGACAGGTTCTTTGTTGAGAGGGTATTGGATAAAAAAGAATATTTTCATAGATTATTCACGCGTTCTGCGTTACCTGAGCGTCATCAAACGATTTCTTTTCGGTGAACAGCTTGTAAATTGAGCCCGAATCGGCCATTTCCCAGTCGTAGGTGCTCACTTTAAGTAGATCATTAACCTGGAATAATGATAATCGGAACAACTGTTGAAAGTTTATTCAGTTTAATTCAGGTTTTTTCGGATTTAAAGGTTTTTTTCGTCTGCTACCCTACCATACGTTATTGTAGCTATATGCTCATTGAAGTGTGCACGAGCAGTGATGTACACGCTACAAAAAAATAGCTCCGCTAATCACTAATTCGCTGGAAACGTATTTTTGTTCCGCTAAAACTAATCCGTCTATAGCGCCACTAACTAGAATGTGGTGAAAACTCATCGCTAAAAGTGCCTCTAATCTGAAAAAATAGCGGACTTTTTCGTTAAAACGCTACATAGCAGTATTACGCCGCTAATCGCTGCTTTAAAATTTTTCTTTTGTTTTTGCAATCGTCTTACTGATCCGCATGGGAAAAACTCTCTTCATGCCATTAAATGATCTTTTTCAACATATATCTGTTGTTTCTAAAAGATTGAAAACAACTAACACTCACTAAACCTTCTTATTTCCATTCAAGAACATCAGTGTGTTGAACATCTCGTCTAAGAATCTGGATCGTTTGGCTTTTATTCTATCCTTTCATAGCCAGAACAGAAATAAACAAAAGTTCATTGCACCATCACGTAACTTAATTAAAGCCAAATAACTTAAGATGGAATGCAGACTGAACTCACTGTCTCTTATATTAAGTATTTGACATATGATTGAATATTCGTTTTTGATCCGTTAGGACAAGTAAGAGTACGACAAGTTCGAATTTTGCCTCGGTCAGCGCTAGAGCTCAAACTTGTATTTACACATGATGGTGTTGCGAAAAACAAGCATTCCTTTGCAGATGAAAAGTAGCAAGCTAGCGGAAGTCTGAGAGAAAATGGCTCGCTAGAACGCTAACGAAATAATATAACGCAAATTATTGCTACTTTGTGCTGCTGAAAAGTTATCGTAGCGGAAGTTATCGCTATAATATGATAAAAGTGGCGAGCTATCGCGTTACCGAAAAATTAACTCTGCTTGTAGCGGAATAACGAATAGTACGCCTTTGCCCACCACTGTTTACTGGTATTGTTGCTGTCTTCCGAACACTTGAGTATTCTCATAGGTATGGTGAATGATGTTATAACTGGCTATCAATTTCTGCTAATAATAGTAACCTGTTTTTCCAACTCATCAAGTCGTTCCTTCAAGAGCGTTATTTGGTGATTGTATCTCAGTGTAAGTCTCTCCTCTAACTGAATCAATTTATCCTGCCAAATCCTCCACGCTGCATCTGCGTCTTCTGGTACACCGAAAGTGTAGAAATCGCTTCGATACTTCAAATTAAAAACGAATATATTCTGACACAATTTTCTCGAATTTCAGACTGAACTCACTGTCTCTGAAGTAACCATTCCGTATTCCCACTTCACTTCAATGCAGTTCTTCCCTTCAGCTTTCAAGCTCTCAGATTACTCGACATTAAGGAATCTCAAACTGTTTTTGATTGAATGCGCTTGACCAATATACATCGAATATAAATTATTGCTGAACAACCTACTTGAAGAATTCACACGCTAGGGTCACAAATTTGTCGTTACCGAAAAATCCATAAATAAATCCATCTCGATACGGTATTAGTGAAAAAATTTATTCGGAGATCTACTGTCATTATTGACTACACGGTTTTTCTACCAAACTGAACGAGGTAACAAATTGACGTATTGATTTACCATTCCATACTGTGCGTTCACTGAACAAGCGTACACTATAAGGGATGCGAATACTTGAAAATAGAACATTTCTGAAAAAATAATACATTTAAAAACCCAAAAAGGCAACAATAATTATCACAGTGACAACAACCATTAAAAACTGTTTGTCCGTCCAGTTCAATTTTAATTGTAACACTGATTAGGTTTCATTCAGACAACAAATTCGATGAATGTTGTTTGTAAGTGGTGCTCATGCTTACTGGTATGGTAATGCTTATTCTAGAAGACAGTCAGATGTAACAGGACAATACAGGGAGTGAACGATTAAATGAGGCGACACAGTGAACAGACTGAGCAAGTTTGGATGAGAAAGGTTGTTATTGTTATTGTATATAATTTGGAAAGTAAGCATTCATAACAAAATGAAAATGCAGATGAATCAGTGCTATTGAGCGTTCTGTTGGATTTTTGAGCGTAATAAGTGATGAAAAATTTTTGGTTTACAGATGATAGCCATCAACCAGTAAGTATTAATTTTATGATGGCATAGTGTTTTTCTGTTCCTTATAAAAACATAGGAGAATTATGTCTGTCAGTACCAGAAGAAAGTTGATTGACCTAAACGTGTTTGGCAAACATCAACAATTGATTTTTAACGAATTCTTTTCACTACCGTGAATGATGATATTTTCGGTAACTATAGTGGTAAGTATGGTAACATTAATATATGACGACAGTGATAATAATAATAATAATAATAATAATAATAATAATAACATAGATGTTGATGGTGATGAAAAAAGTTCGCAAGTGAAACAAACATAAGGCGAAAAACATTTCTTGAAGTCATCTTTCGGTAACGTCATCAAACTGAATACTTTAACTGTTCTCCTTCAACGATTTCATTCGAACGGTTTTTGTTTCCTTATCGTACAGTACAAAATTAATAACGTATCACATCAAAATCATAATGGCAGAGAGTCATGAAAATGATGAAAGAAACACGTTCGCTGACGCATAAAAAGTAAAACCACAAGTCACATGAAAATAGGATATGAAAAAACGATAATATCATTCAATTCAAGGCACTCAGTCAATTTTTGATAATAAAGTGCGGCAAATTGCTCAAACTCTTCAAAAATCAGCTGCAACTCTAGAACCAAACTTTATCTGTCACTACTATACATACTTTACCAATAGCTGAGAGTCTCGTTCATCAGATCACTGTGTTTCCGTGTTTCCGAGCAAACCTTAGATATAGGAAGCTTGAATGGTACTGGTCAGTGGTGGGCAGTAGCGCGTCATTCGCTGTTCCGATAGTGTCGGACCAATTTTTTTCCGGTAGCACGATAGCGCACTATTTTTTTCATATAGCGGATAACTACAGCAATAAGTTCCGCTACAATAAATTTTTAGTGACATAAAGTAGCGAAAACATGCGTTAATTTCTTTGGTTAGCGTTGTAAGGAGCTACTTTTTTGGAGGCTTTCGCTAACTCGCTTATCTCTTGAGATAGAGATAGGGATTTGAACTTCAAAGAGTTAGATGAGAAACGTCGCACCCAATTAGAATAAAACTGCTTTTTTTTTTCTTGAGATCACCTCCTTCAATCCCCGCAAAGAGGACTGTATTCTTTGGTATGCGCTGCACTCTGCTGCCTCATGAGATTAACTTCAAATGCAAGTAAATATGGTAGCTACTTCGAAGCTTTTGCTGATGTGGCTTACAACAGAAACCTAGATGCGGACTTAATGCGAACGTTTGTTCTATGTCATTGACCTTATTTATACTTTTCACGGATTTTGACTTTAACGGGGAATTGCTCTTGAATTTGATTGACGTTAATTTGGGTGAATTCTAGTTCGTTTATGTGTTGGTGTTAGTAGTTTGATGTTGGTTGATCGATCAGGGTTTGACTTGACCATGACTGCTGACCGGAATCCGAATCACTTTGAATCTTAAATTTACTTCACCTTAGATCAGCTTGACATCGTTTCGAATTTAAGTAACTTTAGATCAACTTAACAACTTAATTCAAGAATTTAAATCAACTGCAAATGCACTGTTCCCGAATTAGTTTGCTGACAGTTCGAAGTATCGAAGAAGATCTGATTAAAAACCGGAAACACGAAAATGAGTGGCGAATAATCCCCGTCAAATCTCCAATGAACTCCTCTTTTCGCAACATTTGACGATCTTTGAGGTGCGTTTTCTCTACCACTATTTGTGAATAACGTCCATTGTATTAACATTATTTATTTGGTGATTATTGCATTAATTATTCTGTTACGTAACGAATTATTCCAAGTTTCAATTCCACCTTTATTATTCTATCTTCAACTTATGCAATTTCGAAATCATAAAAACATCAAAGTTATCAATAAAACCTGATAAAACAAGCAGAATTTTAAGAAGTAAATGTTCATCAAGATTATAAAGAACCCATTAATAGCAGATGAATCAGAGACAAATGGAATATTGAAGATTATGTCAGCCTTGTTTTATGCACACTTCCGGATCGTCTTTTTCGAACCGCCGTAGAACTTCTGCGAGACTATCAAATAAACACTTGTTCACTTAAAAAGTATTCGACGACTTGAAAAGCCAAATTATGCTTAAATCGATCGAGTATTCATCTTCAACTCAGCAAATACTTCACCTGATGACCTGATCAAACCAGGTTCTGTGTACGAGTTCTGACTGCAACAAATTAAAATTACTTCGTACGAGGCAGGAAATCGAAAAAAATTGCTTCAGGTAATGAGACTTCAAACTGTGGAATTATTTGACCGGAAACAAAGAATCGACAGAATCATCTAAGCTTTCAACGAACATTGAGATTCGAAACGAAACAGGTCAGAATTATAGAGCATCGATCGAAAGGCAAACAGGTAAAATAGATATCTCTCTTCAGAGGCCATTCCAACGCCCACAAATCGGCGAACAAGCAGAATACATTCTATACTTGTATGAAAATTCAAACATCCGAGATAAAGCATCATATAATAATCGTATTTCCATCTGACTGATGTTAACTATGGGCATTAATAAGATCATTTTCAGGTGATCTGTTTCCTCAGATATTCTCAACTATATGCTCATCTCATAAAGAATAATGTATGTCAAATTGAGATTTTAACTTTTGGGATGAAGTTATGCACGAAAAGTTACACGCAGATCTAATAATATCAGTATCAATCAGCCTCAATCATCAGATGTGGTCAGCATCATCACTGACCGTTTTTGGTGCTCTTAATGTTCCAGTTCTGAATGTAAACCGGCATTTGTGTCACGTTATTAATTAGTAAAACGACATTATTCATAATAATACGATTATTCATGACACGTCTTACATAAAATGGCCAGTCTTCCTATCTTATTTTATTACAGCGCTATTATCATATTATTATTGTTTGGCCAATTTTAGGGAATTTTAGCGTTATGGAATGGCCAATTTTTGAATTATGTGATTAGCGAATTGAGGACTCAATTCACTATACAGGTACATTAATATGGTCACTGAACAAAAACGATTTCTCACCTTGACCTTACAACTGCCGCATTATTACATTTCAGAATTACATAGTGACTTCACACGTATCAACTTCTCGTGTGAAAGGTCAATTAAGAATACATCTTATTTACTTGTGATTGCATCAGTGAAATACTTACATTATGAAATGATAGCATGATAGGGCATATTCATCAGATGCTTTGGTTCTATTCGTTTCGCTTTGCTAAGAAGCACGCACAAGCAGACAATGACGATATTGTTCATGTGACTCAGATCAATTTCTATCACCATGACACAACCATGGACAAAACAATACAACTTCATCACAAAAGAAGAACCCGATGCAACAACAATGGATTGTGAACAACATTCGAACTCCTCCTTGATACATACTTAGCATGTTCTGCTGATCAGTCCTGATCGCATTCCCACTCAATCAAACTGAAGTATTCCAGCTCCTTCAAATATCACCTCTTCTCTTCTTCCTTCTATTCCTGTTGAGTCGTTCTGTGTCGCTAGTGATAGATCGATTTACATTTCGAAATGTTTATTCATTAAAAAAACAAAAAAAAGAACCCAAAAATCCACAAACAATGAACGAATCACAAAATCAAAAAAAAAAAAAAAGTGGCCATTAACGTCAAAACAAACGAAAACCATAACCTTACGCGCGTTTCTAAAGCATCAACAAATAATCTTCAATAACACATTTGGTGAAACACGTAATGGTAAGTGAATGAGAAAGAAAAACACATACTTTTCCACTCCAACAGTATTTAATCTCGAAATGTCGAACAATTCAAAGAGTCGCACAATAACCACTAAAAAGTGAACAAAACTGATGTCAAAATTATGAAGCGAATGAAAGCGAACATACCCTCAAAATACCCTCAAAATGAACGCATTCTTCGGTGATAACTTTGAAAGTGCACACATCCACATTTCATTACACTTCACAATAATTCGTAACAAGCAAATTAAAGCATCAAAAGATAATGTCTTCAACTAGATCAGTCAATCAATCCTTTACTGTCCATTACCTAGTTTATGCAGAGATGCTCGCAAGCACAATGCTGGCTATTTGGCTTATCGTTCTACGCAGCATCCATTCACAGAACGAAATGGAAAGCAACAAGCGATCAGCAGCTTCGAATGGATGATCCCAAATAACAATATGCTACTTGAAACTTACATATGGATGTATCACAAGAGAATGAATGATAATATCACAACAGCAATCATTTCAACATCAAATTATAGTCAAGTTGATCCTAAAATACCCATATAGACATTTTCTACATTTAATTATCGTTTATATACACTGACATCCAAACATATATTGATCGCAGTTTCTGCAAAAGCATTCAGCAAAATGTTTTTGAAAATCAACTTGTTGACGAGTTTTTTAGGAAGAAGGAATGAACGAAGTTAACTGTTTGCAATGTGACAAACTCATAAAAAATAATGCGCTAAACTTTAAACGAAGCATACAAATTTACGTCGTCAAAAGTTTGAGCGAGAACAGCGAGGATGGTGACTGTAAATAATTGCACTTCAAATGGATCATTCAACTGAACGACAGCTTCAAGAAGAAAGATAAACAAATAACAGTAACGAAATGGAAACGAAAAAATCACCCAGAAAATGTCCAACGATTAATTCTTTGGCGTATTTTGACAAGAGCAATCGCCGACCAAAAACAACAGGAAATATTTACATATAAACCAAATCACACGATAATTAACAAAACAATTATATGTACAATATCATTTTAACAATATCAACTACACCAATATTAATAACAGTAATAATAACAACATCAGTAATACATATTGTTCGATGAAACGCATCGTTTAAGTAACTGCCTGTTGTTGTTTTGATGTCGCATTCTGGTTTAGGGATGAAGACAGATTGCTGTTATCGTGACTGTCTTTAGTGCATGAAGTCTTTGTCTCGGCAGTTTTTTTGTAGCATGGCCACACAGAGTTGGCTGATGAGAGAAGGTACAATCGGCTAAGAACATCTTTCTTACATTCAAGCTGCTGTCCATTCGCTACAGGACGCGTTTTGATTCGACAGTTTTGATGACGCGTATTGTCTTATATCATCGGAATAATACCCATTGAAAATACACTCATTTGCACATACCCGCATCGCTTTATACGTGTGCAAAAGTAACTGAAATTTATTCGTTTTTATTCTTCAAAACAAATGTCCTTTCGTTCATCTATGAATTCGTCCTGTTGTCGCTATCAAATTTCACAACGAATTCTCATAACGATAGCGGTATCTTTTTATAAGAACATAATTCTGAAAACCAGAGAACTGAACGCTACTGAAAAACAGCAGCACTGCTATCGTTGATCTGAAAAAAGAAATGCGCTTTCGCTACTAACGCCAAAACAGCGAAATTTCTGAACCGATGATTAAACGAAATTTGTCCACTGTTCGCTAGTTAGGAATCTTCGCTCAAAATTAGCAATTGCACCACTCATTTGTATGTTTACGTCCTCCAACACTTTAAAAACTGTCACGACTGTGGATTCGTGAAGTAATTTTGAACATTTAAAAAACAATATTTAGAATATCAGAATAAATCAATAATAACATTAATATTTTAATTGACAGTAGATTGTTTACGGCAGGATTCCCCAATCGGGGGTCCGAGACGGTATACCAGAGGGTCTGAGAGAGTGGGATAATAGGGGGTTGGAGAGTGGGTGCGATGAGAGGTGCGAGAGGGGGCCGAGATGAGGTTTTATTTTTCATCCATTAAAGTAGGCGAGAACGGAGCTCAACACATATATGCATGTGTTGAGCTCGACGTTATATCTTGTCTATCCTACAGACACCCAGTGTAGTGGGCAAGAAACACAGTGAATGTACAAGCAGGCAAACAAGCAAACACGCAAACAGCGTCCGCATCATCTCAGCTAAGGTTGTGCATGCAGCGCCTCGAGTTGCGAACTCAGCCTTCTACTGCCCACCTTCATTTTTTTGTTTTGTTTTGTTTCAGGTTCTCATGAAATTGTGTTGTAGGATTCCGAAGGCATCTTAAAATTTTCTAGGGAATGCAAAGGGCAAAAAAGATTGGGAATCACTGAGCCATTAGATCTCATATGACGACCTATCCCGCAGAGGATCAATGAGGAAATGTTCATAGGGATAGTTAGATATGATCAGAGTGATTTCTAAAGCTTAATTAAAAGGAAATGCGACAAAGTGAGATTAATGGGCGGAATAAAGGCGAGAATAAGAATATATTGTTCGTATGATATGAAGATGAAACATTTAATCGTTTTTCAGTGTTAATAATGTTGTGCTGTTGTTGCTAGCGATATTATCAAAACTTGATTTGTTTACTTCATGGAATGACTTGTTACTATTGGTGGTATAATTTTTGCTATGTGTTTTGATGATAAGTGATTTGATTTTAGGATTTAATCACCCAAGTTTGAGGTAATTTGGAAATAAACGATTTGTGGAAACCTCGCAAGTCGTTACACAAACTATATTTAATTTCATAAACCAACAATCATCAAACTCGTTTTTATCACTAGCTCCAGAAAAAACGAAGTTGATTAGACTTGGTAACAATAGTCCTAATAACCCACTCAACATCCAGAACCAAAAATTATCTCCTTCCTCGTTCATCCAAAATCAAGGCGTCATAAGCAACCGAAATTTAAAAATTCATCATCACGTTTCTAATATACTTAAAAAAGATAACGTTGGAAAAAATATGTTGGTTGGAAAAACTGATATTGGAAGAAGTTAAAATCAATATTGGGAAATATATGCATTCATTGGTAGATGAACAGATAGCGGCGCTGAAGCGCTACGCAAAGACAGTAACGGGAGCTGTCCATCAGTGCTGAAAACAATCGCTAGCACTAACACAACCAATACAAACTGAGACATAAACGGCAATCACTTCAACAGTCAGGATTTTGAATTAGCACCCAGAAGTTTTCATTCATGCAAATTACTGGCTTTCTCTCGAAGAAGTATTTAGAGAAAAGGGTTGCACAAAAGTTTCGAACTTGAAACGAACGAACATTCGGGAATCGTTCGGTGAAATAGGTGACGAACTCATCTGGAATATGGCCCAATGATTCGCGAACTTCTTTCGGTAATTCTCTGTAGTGATGCTTCTTGTTACGCATTGCACGTAATAAATCACGAACCGAATTGCCTTTGTAGGTGCGGAATTTTCGTAGATCTGAATCAAAATTGAATTTATTTTCATAAATGAGTGAACTTATTCAATAACAATACTCATTTATAATGTCTAACACATTTAACGCTATTGTTTTCGCCACAAACAGAAATATTTCATACCTTCAGCTAATTCACTAGATATCACCTGACGCCAGTTGTTCGTCACTATCGCTCGCGCATCACGCTCAAGACATCGCACCACCAAACTTTGTTCTGCTTCCTTCTCAACTCGATCACTGACATCCTTCAAAATAATTATCTCTTTAATTCTACTCAAGAACCAATCACTTATCTTCAATAAAGATACTGAATAATAATCAGATACCAGTACACAATGCATTTCGATCATAAAATATCACAAACCGAAAAGAACTGTAATTGACGTTCTTTTGACCAGAAGAATGGATGCGAGACAAGTTCGGCAGCCGAAGGACGAGCATAAGCGTCTCTTTGAAGCATTGATTCAATTAATGTGACACCTATCGCATTACCTGTATCTTTTTAAAATTCACCTCTCGTTAGACAACAATATTGGTAACCGAAAGTGACAAACGAACACATTCATAAATGAACAATAACAAACTTGATGCATTAAGTGTTTTCAGGCTATATTCTCCTTGCATTATATTTGCTTGTCGTCTTAAGTTATCACCGAAAGGGTGTTTTCCATTCGTTAGCACATAATAATAAACACAACCCAATGAGAACACATCCGCTGCACACGTCTGCAACATTAGAGAGTGAGCACTATTTATCGAGTATTCATTGAATACACTCACCGTACTAGCATCCGATAGAAGAGCTTCAGGTGCGATCCAGCCATCTGTACCAGCTAAGCCAGAACGACGTGATATTGAGTTACGACCTGACTGAAGTCGCTTGCATAAACCAAAATCCGAAATGAGTGCACGCATATGACCATGCTGGTTTGGTATTGAAAGCAGTACATTTTGAGGTTTTATATCACGATGAACTGTAACGAAACAACACATCAGTTCAACTTCACACTCTCTTGTACAATCATTTGAATTTTCTTTTTTCTTTTCGATACCATTTACGATACGAAAAAAATCGACTGAATTATTCATTATGGAGATGACAAAAGCAGAAATAATAATGCTCAATCAACTGACCAATATTAATACTATGCAAGTACGCAACACCATCTGTAGCTTGTTGTAGAATGTCCATTGCACTCAGTGGACATCTTTCTTTGATGGCCTCTCGTTCAACATATTCGTACAATGAACTATCACAAAGTTCCAGCGCGATATATCGAAAAAGACTGTCAGATTCCTGCCAATTAGAACCTTTATTGATTGTTACTTTCATTCATTACTTCAACGGCATATCATTATGATTTCACACCTCCCTATTCAAATTCAGTTAGCAATACTAACTTAGATCTCTCTCTGTCTCTCCCTGTTCCAGTTGGAATCTAAAACTTATTCAATGAATGGAACCGAAAAATGAGAATTTTTAGATGTAACGCCAAGAGTGTGGAAAATAGAACAAGTATAAGTGAACAAATATGGAAGGTGGGATGAATAAATTTATGAGGACGGTGAGTACCATGCAGAAATATCGAATGACGTGCGAATGCGCATCACTCTCCCGCAGCAAATCCACCTCTCGATCAACCAGCCGTACAAAATCAATCATTACACGCTTCACGGCCACCTCGCGTCCATCAAAACGTCCTCTTCAAAACAATCACAATTATTATGAACCGAAATGGAATGAGTAAAATTGGAATATGGTAATCAAGGAAAGAAACGAATCACCTGTAAACAATAGTTCCTTCACATCCTCTGCCTAAAATAGATTGAGGATCATAAAAGATACTTCCAACTTGCATCCAGCCATCAGGTGTGTCGTTCGTCAACAAAGGCCAATAGCGTGTTCCACGCTTCGACGTTTGTGCTGAGCGCGCTTCACCAACGAATGATGCTACACCAGACTTCAAGTAAATAAATCGATCAGTGAAAATCAAAAGTTTAGGCATTAATAATAATAATAATAATAAACATTAATAAATAAATAATAATAACAAACAATAATAATAAATAAATAAGTAAACGATAATAATAAATCTAAAAATGATTAGCCACCAATATCAGCAAGACATTAATTCGACCAACCTGTCTTCCACACATCCAAACTGTCGTTAAAATCAACAGCACAATTGTGATAAGAATACTTGCGAATGCAGCTGGATGATGTCGCCAGAGTTGTGTGATAATGATATCCAATGTCCAATCGCGTTCACTAAGCTGTTTACGATTGTTGATAGCCTTGAAACGATCAACGAAACATAAACGAAAGAACACCATTTCATACGTACTGTTCAGATCAGATGCACATGAATCTTTGCTTTGCATGACTATGATAAGATTTTATCACTACACTTAATCTCTGAACTGACCGCTATTGCTCAAATCAATAAAGTTTCATTAAATGCTTCAATGCGAAACGCTACATCCATTATTTCGTCATTTCTCGCATTACAATTGGCTACGCTCTTAGAATTGAAATTAAAAGACTAAAAGTGTAGCAAATTGTAATTCAGTTTGACCATTCTTCAGGCTTCAAGCAGAATATGGACAAGAAAAAGAAAGCGAAAGTTTTGCAAAATCAAAATTTCTTATGGTTTTTCGAATGCGGACGTCAAAGACAGTGTTTTTAACCTTTGAACTTTGCTGCTCAGAAGGAATTCAGATCAAGTCCGCCTCTGGAGATATTTTGAAAAGACTTTCTGAAGGCGATATCGATCACCAACTTATGCTTTTACATACTGATCGAAGAAAAACAAACAATGCACGTAGAAAGTTTCACTCTGAGCATTAAAGTTCTTCCGATCGATCCATTCCATGATCGGTTTTTTGACGGCTTAATTCGTAAAAAAATTTGTGTCTGTGAGTGTTTGTGTATATGTGTCTGTGGCTGTGTGTAGATCGTCCACTTGTATTTGCAATTGAAGAAGCGAAAAAAAAACAAACCGCATTCTGCAACGCTTCGGGGCGATGTGGTGAAGGTACGTAAGTTATTGATGGTAAGGCAGAGACTAATTTGGATGAGTGCTGATGAACATGTAATTGTAATTTGATTGTATCCGGAGGTTCGTGATAACCTGAAATCAAAACTGGGAAAGTTGCATAACGCTCGCGAAAGCAAAATCTGAAACGGAAGTCGTTTCAAGTCATCTACCCTATTTCATCAGTTACTTCTAAGCGATTAAACGTGCGATACATATCATCAACACTCTAGGTCACTCAACAAAGACAAATCTTTATTAGGAAACAACGACCACCTAAGATGAAGGCAGCAGGTTTCATCTGGAAACCATCTGAGTTATCGTGTGCGCTTCTATAAGCAATGAATAATGGCTGCAGAAACATAATAACGAACCAAGTAACAGGAATTCACCCTCAACCGTTCGATGAGTTATTGAGGGCATTTCAATATTGATACGAACAATCGGTCGAGATGAGGGTGCATTTCTCGGTGCATTTTCATTCTGCAACCAAAAACACTTGACGCAACGAATGTTACATTGTGTTGGACAACAATAATGTATATGAATCAGCAACGATAACGACCGAAAATAATTAAGTGCTTCTTTCATCATACTTTTTTGCTCCAAAAAGACAAACTTCAAAGGATTACAAGACAGTCAACCTAAACTAAATATTTTAATTTTTAACAATTTTTTATACGGAAAGAATGCAGAATTACCAAAAAAAAGATCGTGAAAAAAGTTTGTTACCATGATCAATTCATCTGTAGTAGCCGAGTTATATGAAACAGATTAATGATGTTTCTATTTCACACTTCTGGCAAAATGTCCTATTCTGTTCCATTCCGCCCTTCTCCTGTTCTCTTCTATTCTCCACCCCATATTTTAAAAACCGTTCTGTTCTGTCCCCGCATCCCGGATTCTCAAACCGTTCTATTCTGTTCTGCCATTTAAGTTATTTTGTTCTATTCCTGTTCCCTCAGACGGAGAACAGCAAGATAAAAATTGCGTAATAATAGAGTTTAAACAGGAACAAATAATGATAAGGATAATGGCACGAATACCACAATGGTAACATGTTTCATCACCAATACAGTGCTTCACAGAGAACAGTTGAAAGAACAACAAAAAAACTGTTCTATTCCGTTCTGTTCCACCCTTCGAACTGTTTTATTCCGTTCTGTTCCACCCTTCGAACTGTTTTATTCCGTTCTGTTCTCCACTCTCATATTTTGAAAGCCGTCCTTTCCTCTTCTGCTCCCATGTCGTGAACTTTCAAACAGTTCTGCTTTGTTCCTCAACTGTTCTATTCTCTTTCGCGCACTTTTTCTTGAAACTGCTCTATTTTATCCGTTGGAATAGAACAGAAATAGAACATTTTGACTGGAACAGAAACATCACTAATGATATTAATGAATGCGATCATGCGAACACAATCAATCTCTTTAATGAACTGCAGCAATATCATCAGCATTATATTACCTGAACAGCAATTGGCATCGGACCTTCTAATAACGGTGGTCCTAAATATTTTGGTGCAATTGTAATTGTTCGCTCGTCAACGAACGCTGGCAATGCGTATAAGCCATATTCACTTTCACCGACGTAAAGCACCGGAAAGAGACTACTGCTCTCACCGATCGTATTCGCACGTGCATATTCATTTCCATCACTCGAATCTCGCAGAAAATCATCCACCCAATCACTCGTTTTGCGTTCCCAACCATTCTGCAAAGCAGCATATCTTAAAAATCTCACCCATTTATTCATAAATATCATCACCCCGAAACCATCAAATATAAACGTTAAATTTTATTGCACCATGTTCTTTCACGAGTCTACTTGTGTGCCATTTCACAAATCAAATAAACTCAGTTCAGTATTTGCATCAATCAGTTGAATAAATTGTAAATAACTCGCTCAAAAAGACAGATACCGCCTGTCAGCGTGGTGAGGTGTTCCAAATCAGCATTTTATAAGCGAATAAAAATATTCTTCTGATGTGATATGCAAGAGCAATGAAACTAATAGAAAAAGAATGAGCAATGAGCAGATGGTTACAGCGTTTCAAAACAAGTGTAATTTGTACTTCATCGCTCAATTCCATTCACTCATCCACCGATGCAGTCATAAATCTATTTAGTTACGTGATTACTTAGTAACACGCATTAACAACCCATCACATCAATAATAACAACTTCTATTGTTCGACTTCTTCGAATGTAGAACAATTATTTAAGATCGACTACTTATTTCTCATTTTATCACCACCTTATAATCATCAGCACCCTCACCTTTCTACTCAACAAATACTCGATGATTATCGATTACAATCGACTGAAAGCGCGCTTCACAAGTTACTATAAAACAATGATATCACTTGCATTATCAAATACAAAATTAACTCATCTATCATCACATACAATATAATATCACATTACATCCGGAGAGCATAACGCTGACATAACAGCAGACGGACAGCTAAAAATACTACATGCTTCATCTATGAAACAAGATGAATTTGTGCTATAACAATCAACTTGATAGAAGAACAGTTGAAATGATACTGACAAGAACATAATAAAGAATTATTTTCAACTGAGCAACAACTCAAATTAATCGTGAACTAAATAACACCTTTAATTATCAAAAAACCTGGCTTACAGATGATATCTTTGAAAAAATAAACAAATAATTTGTTTTGATGTGTAGCGGTGAACGGTGAACGGATCGATGAGGAAATAGTTGCACTCAGATGAATATTTTGATGATACAGATATGGGAAAGTAACAATACTTATGAGGGAACAAAAAATAGAACGAGAATAATTACGATTTCAAAATGAGTTGATACGGATGATGATATGTTGAGGATGAGATCAAATGATATGATATGAGGTGAGGTGTGCGATGATAAACGATTCGAAAAGAAACGTGGATGAGGATGAACAAATAAAAATAGTGATTTTCAACGAACTTCAATGCGAAGCAAGACCAATAATCTTCAAAAATGACAAGTTTTGATCGATCCGATGATTCTACTATGACAAATCAAAACAAAAGCAACTGTTATTGTGAGGATACCCATTCATACTCATAACAAGCAACCAACCGACTTGAATTTAACACAACTGGTATTCTATGACATTATGGTATATAAGCTGATGTGACCCGAACAATAAGAACATTGCAAGCAACCGAATGAGCGCATCTATACGTTTTTAAACCTTTCGAATACATAGGTTATATCACCCATTTCTGCAATATATCTCCCATTTCATCTTATGCAATCGCCATTGTTCTTCACTCATTCCACATAAAACTTACACCTCATTTTTCAAATACTTCAGTGCACTCGCTGCTGCTGCTCTTTGCTTCAAAATCATCGATAAATCGAACAACTTTGCATGAAACTAACTAACTAAACAAAAGAACTTTAAAAAAAATTCATATTTAAATTTAAAAACCAAACCGTTAATACCCTCCGATCAGAAAAGAAATACTCAGTCGACAACGAGTGTATGATAATGAATTTTGAAAAATCGCAAGAACCGTAATCGGTTACCAATTCTAAGCCTTAGTTTCATGTGTTCTGCATCAAAACCCTCTTTTTCTACCTATTCCTCATCCTGAAATTGACGACTATTCACTTCACTGTACCTTAATGGGTTGATCATAAACATCTTTAGGATAGCATCCTTCAAATATCATCTATCCAATTCAATGAAAACAAATTAAATGGAAGACAGCCAACTTGAAGGCAGCATAATCTAGAGGAAGCATCATCAATCTAGGCCTTTATAAGACCAGGTAAAAGACTTGCTCTTGCTGGTACAATAATGCCTTCTTCTTCAAACGGTACCGCAACAATCAATGCAACAATATTTTCTCGTCTCATCTCATCACCGTTCACTTGGCTCCATTCACCTTTTCAGTTGGCTTGCTTGGTCTACTCTCATCGACACTTGAGAATAAATGTAAGATAGTTTTAAGCTCGAAACTTTAGGCTCCTCCAATGTGGTAAGCTCTAAAGCTGTTGTTGCAGTCAGATTATTGTCAGCATTAGTAGGAGCAGCAATAACAACAGTGTATTATATTCGGCTGGGCACACACAGATCTCTTTGTGTGCATATCAACGTAGATATTGATGATTGTGTTCTATGTCATTAATACGCTTAGGCTTATCATTTATCATCCACTTCTAATTATTAATTTATTCCTTCATTTCCATCTTTTTTTGCTAATCTTTTTTTTTCAACTATCTACCCTCACCATATTTATCATTACTTCACCATCATCATATATATATATATATATATATATA